CTCGCTTTTGAAATGAATGTAAACTAAGAAAACATGGAATGATTTATATAGGCTGTAAAAATGGGGTAGTTAATATTTTAGAATATTTGGTTTGAGATTTAGTTTTGAAAAGAAATAACTTTATTCAATCTCAATCACTAAATTATCGTGATTTTATTGTTAAATATTAAATATTATATCCGAATATTCCATTTTTATAAGACTTAGAATAACAAATCATGTTTATATTTAATAGGCGAATTTAATTACCATAAATTAGTAAATTGTTATAAATTAAGATATAATCCGTTGATTTTGCCTACCATAAATTAATGATTTTGATATAAACGATTTAGATTTAAATGATTAAGGAAATATATACATATTATGGATTTTAAATGATTAAGGAAATATATATTCAAAGAAAATCGAATAGGATAATGATTACTTAATAAATAACTCTTCAATTTTTAATATATAATGAAATGACAAAAGTTTATTAATAAAAATCTTACAAATAAAAAGTTATATTATCAAATGTATTTAAAAAATGTTAATATAGATTGATTTGGTTGGTCAAGTTAAAAATTAAAATAGTTTAAAAAGTCAACTACATTGAATATTCCATACTAAGAAAACATGGAATGGTTTCTATTAAAACAAATATTAAAATACTCAATGTTTAAAATTTCGATCAAGATCTTTATAAAATATTTGAAATTAAGAAAATCTTGCCAATTAAGCTAAATTTTAGGCATTGTATCTTACAAATAAAGTTAAATATCAAAGGTAATAATTATCTTTCCTTTAATATTGAAAACCAATTTTTTTTTTTTTTATCAACTGAAAAATGAACGATGGAGATTAAATCTCTAAACCCGATTAACATATCCGTTTAGTTAGTTAGATCCGCGTGTTAACCCAGTTAGAAATGATAATTATTTTATTTTGAAACTATAGTGTAAATTCATTGTGTACTTCAGCTTTAATAGTATAGATACTAGTACTGTAGTATGTAGTATGTACTATGTAGTATGCACACGAAGAGCTTAAATAACAAAAAATATATTTTTTAATAAGAGTAAAAATTTATAAATTTTGATTTGGCACCCAAAAAAAAAAAAATGAAGTCAAAATTTTGTAGATTTTACTGTCCTTGGGAGAAAAGGAAAAAAAGCTCTGTCCGTCTAATGTGGGCCTCTGGAATGGCGTATATAAAGCCCAATTTTGCAATGTTAATGGGCTTTAATTTGCTTTCTTTCGTCAACGGTCCAAGTTGCTTTACCTTCTTCCCTCGAGTGGACTACTGTTTTCAAAGGGAACTTTTCTAACCCTAGCTAACAAAATTTATCAACTTCGATAAAATCTCGATTATAAACATCAATATATTTTCAAAAATTATTACATGATTTATAAGATGTTAATGGCATGAGTCTATTTGTTAATGTACAACAATGACGTTTTATGCAAAAAAAAATAAAAATGGTCTCATCCAAAAAGCTGTTGTTTTTGTTGTATCGAATTTATATATCTCGAAGCAATGTTGTTTTTAGTTGTTGGATTTTATTGACATGTATGAGCTTAACACTTATGGTGGAAGATAGAGTATATGCACTGAACAATCTTTGCTATTATTCCTTTAATTACATATACATTTTTCAAATTTTGTAGCTTCATATAATATAGGTTAATATGAAAACATTAATACTATTAACGAATAAAGATATGCTTAGTATTCCCGGGTTTTAGAAAACAACATGTTATTTTAATCGATATCAGACGATCATGCATGCATGACATTAATGTTTTTAACTTTTAAGTGACTTTTTAACATAATAACATTGGATATCAAACTATATATTGATTCGAAAACATTTGTTTCGATATGTTTAATACACAGAATTTATTCGATAACCAAATTTATATTAGATTACACATTATATACGTACTAAAGCTAGCAATATTACGAATTGGTATATATATATATATATGATCAAATTAACGGCGCAAAAAATAACCATACGAATTGAAGAGAAAGATATCGCAAGATGTTAAGCAAAAACACAAATAAGAACACTCTTTGTATTATATGAGTACGATTTTGTCAAAGTGAATCGTGATGGATTTTACAATAGGATATGAATGATCGTGTATATATTCGTATTATATAGTATATACAATGACAAAATGTACTATATGTTATCGTGCATGCATAGTGATTTTATAGGCTCCACAACCACATGTATGTATTATTTTTATACGCATGCGTTTCTCTTCTTCTTTTTTGCAAGTGTGAACTGCATTATTCACTTCTTCAACATGTACTACATTGTATTTTCTTTGCTTGTCAACAGACAGCGTATGCCAGTAAACAGTGTATGTGTATTATTTCATATATATGAAACAGTACATGTGATTGTGACAAATATATATATCTTGGCTATGTTCTTGTGCTGGAACACTAGCTACAACGTTATGAATAAGAAAAATACTAAATAAATATGTGTCAGTCGATATATATACATGTTAATCCAACCCTAATTTCAAAATTCAACTAAATATGGAGCATAGTAAAATCCAGTGAAGAAAATGTAAACGATTATTATATCCAAAAAATGATAAGACTTAATTGATAGATGGTTTTGTTTTACATACAATCATAGTTTTAGTGCAACAATAATAATATTCGGAGTATATATTGTTACAGTAACGCTTCTTTGGCGTTTTCAGACGCTCCACGATATATAAATTGGGAGCTTGCAGAGTTGTAGAATAGAGACGTCTCGACTTCAATAATACTAGTAAGAAATAAGACAAATATATCAGTAAAAATAGAAAATCAGTAATACTAAGAGATCATAGAAATTTATAGAAGAAAAGAGAAATCTTTGGTTTCTCTATTTTAAATTCAGTGTCGCTTTATCATATGAAATTTTCATATAAAATTTTGGCTTAAATTTCTAAGAACTTCAAGTTAACATATTTAAAATAAAATCAAATCAGAAGTCAATTTGTTACGTTATCGCAGAGGTATAATATAATTCTTCTTTGTGTGACAACTATAAAATGATATATATCATAAAATGTGTAGAAGTACAATATGCTAATATCCCAAACCCATCACAATCATAATGAACGTAGGAAACTTAGCAGAGTAAATGTCCTCTCAATTAAATTCTGCAGGTAGAAATAATATACATTTGTAGAGGTTCAACTTTGAATAATATCAAACTAATTCAAAAGCTGATTCGTTCAACCAATTAGAAGTGAAAAAGTGATCATTTGAACCCAAAAAAAAAAAAGGATCACTTGTTCATACACAAACGTCAATATTTTGGATAATTTTGTGGGTAATAGATTTACTTCTTATATATAACCAAAGCAATTGTTTCAACGTAAATATATATATATATATATATATATATATATATGCTTATTGTGATCGCTATGTTTAAAGTGTTATGTGTAATTTACATGCTTTGTTATAGTTAATCGAGAAGTTCTTGTCCTAACCACAAGCATCACTTCGTTATACACAATTTCTCTCAACCAAGAATCAAACTAGGGAAACCAGACTACACACTCTCACCACTAGCTAGTTTAACTATAAACTATCTATTGGTTGTGTCAACGCAACCACGTAGTTATAGACTTATAGTTTGGCCATAAAAAAATTATCAGATACGTATACTATAGCATGAAAATAGTCTTTAGAAGTTTCGAACTATCTATTTCATATGCTGTCTGAATCTAAACAAGACATAATTAATTATTACATTTAAATTTATTTTTTTAAACTAAACCATTAACTAGGGTTAGTCAACATTATATTTGTCTTGCCAACAATATCTATAATCGCTAATAAGACCAAACAAAAATGAATGAGCGAAATAGGTTAGTAAAATGGCAAGTCGGCAACATTTTAGAAGTGGAATGAAAATATCCAAACCATGATCGTTGTCTGATGTTCGAGTCTTTTTGTTATTTTCTGCTGGTGATAGACCGACGTCTCTAAACGACAAGTAATCATGAGTACTCCAACGACCACTAGTTTTTAGAATTCTTGTCGCGGTTTGGGGAGGAATCAAAAGAGACTAATGGTGGAGTTACTCACATGGACGCACAAGGTTCATGTCACATTATCCATTTCTCTTCTTCTAAATTTTTGAAGGGCCAATTAAAATCGTAAAAAGTCATATACTTCACGGGTTACAGTACTATTTTAACTATCCGCCGAATCGTACAAGCGAACATGTAAGTAACCGCGTCCATATCGGAAGGAGAGATTTGAAGATGTTAACGTTCTTTTCATTTGGATCCCAAGAACTTCGAAAGAGGTCGACTGATATATATATGTATGTATGTTAGCTAAATGCCTAAAAACGCTAAATTCCATCGTTCAAGGTTTTATTTTCCACTTTTCTATTCATCATTTCCTAATTAGTTCACCTTTTTTCACTCTATACATTAATTGTTTAAAGTTGCAAATATTAAAAAAAAAAAAAAACAAGATTATCGGAATTACACGGGAAAAAGAAGATTATTGGAAAAGTACAAAATTTTGATATTTTAAATTTTAAGGGTTTATGGTTTTATTGTTTTTATCATACATGGTTTAATAGCTCTAGTGTCAGTTTTGAACAATATTTTGAAATTAAATTAGAAAGTAAATGTAGGATTTTAACATGTTCCCTTGAGATGATATTTTGATGATAAAATTACAAGATACTAATATATGAGTCTATAAAAAAAATCAACTCAAGAGGGCAAATATTGTTTAGATCTGAAATTTTCTCATCATTAGCTAGTGTAACTTTTATCTGTGAACAAATTTATAACCATTGGAAACCTAACACATTGGTTTATAGGTTGCAATTATTGGATTCGTTAATGCCACAAAACATTATCAACTTCAGATTCTTGATCTCTTTCGTAAGAATTCTTACACTAAATCTTTACATGAAATCAAACGGAAGAATAACTTGATAGAAGAAACGAAATGAATAATGAATACTGAATGAAAAAAAAGAAAAATAATGTATACGAGCTAGCACATTCACGAGTTTAGATTCGATGTAAGAAAGTCTATGTTTCAGCTATAGCCAGCCAGTACTCTAGCACTTCATCACTAGCTAGTTTTAAAGTTACAGATATTGCACAAGCTTGGTCTCACTCTAACGACGACCCTAAAGATCAATCCTAGCTTTGGTTTTATAGAGCTCTAGCCTCTATGTTAACACAAACTGACAACCATATCCTTGATTTCACTATGTAAACAGATTTTTCTCGCTAGTGCATGTCCACTAAGACCTAACAACATGGTTATCAACCAATATATATACACAAATCTATTGGTTATAGATATATCATAGATTTATGTCAACCCAAAATTGATGATCCATTTGTATAGGTAGAGACACAAACTAACACCCAAAAGATTGCAAAGACTCCTTTATAAGAGAAGTGGACCTAAATGAGATCGAAAAGGATGTGTTAATTATTTACATCTTTCGAGACTTTAGAATGGGAAGATGCCTCTTTAAGTCAAATAATAATGATAACATTCTTTCATACATTACACTGGCCAGCCATTACCCTACAAAAACCTTCGCTTGCTTGCTCCTATCATTTTCATCCCGATAATTACAAAATATTATACATTCCAAGTTTTTTTGTTTTGTTTTTTTGTTTTATAATTAAGTTCATATCGATCACCATATAGCAGAAGTTAATTTCGTGACTTCTAAAAGTTTACGGACTAGGCATTCTCTTAGGTTCAATAGACTAGAGATTTAATACTTTGATCTTATAATTTAGAACAGATAGGATGCAACTATGCAAGACATGATTCCTTATAAACTAGATTGTACATTTTCAGTTTTTCACCTTGATTTCAATATCAGTAGATATCGTTCAATTGCTATAATACATTTTATTACGGAACAGTTTAAAAACCCTAAAAAATATGAAGTATGTTTAAAAACCGTTAACTAAAAACTAATAGTTACAAACAACAGAGATATAAAGGTTCGTAAACCCTACAGATGAGTCTTAATCAACCTAAGTAACATTTGCTAATTTTTCTTAAAGAAGATAAGAATCTACAACACATAAAATATTAATATACGCCAATTTAGGAAAGTGAGAGACAAACACCATTACTGTCTTTTAGTAATTAATAAGTGATCTGATACGTGTGCTTTAAACAAATCAAATTTCAATCGTTTAATCCAACTTGCCCTTGCAAAAATATCGTAGACTATTTTCCTATAAATAGGAACACACTCATTCATATCTCTACGTACTCATATGACTCCTCACTCTCTCTTAAAAATGAGGTTTTGCACACGAAACCTCTCCTTTCTCATTCTCTTCCTCTTTGGCTTTCTTGCTGCCTCATACGCTCGTGAATGTAGCCCTCCAAAGCCATCACCTAAACCTCACAAACCACCAAAACATTCTGTCGTCCCACCTAAACCACCGGCAGTGAAACCGCCTAAACCACCCTCCGTTAAACCACATCCCTACCCTAAACCCCCCACAAAACGTCACCCACACCCGAAACCTCCCTCTATAAAACCACCTCCGCCATCCCCCAAACCACCTAAACGACACCGCCACCCTAAACCACATCCACATCCGAAACCTCCCACTAAAAAGCGACACCCTCACCCTAAACCACCCACCATCAAACCACACCCTCACCCTAAACCCCCTACAAAACCTCCAACCATTAAACCCCCTCCGTCAACTCCTAAACCACCCTCCGTGAAGCCTCCGCCATCAACTCCTAAACCTCCTCCGACGAAGCCTTCTCCGTCTATTCCCAAACCACCTACCCACAAGCCTCCACCATGTGCACCAACACCGCCCATAGCAACGCCACCAGTGGCCGCCCCACCAGTCGCCACACCACCTGTTGCAACGCCACCAATTGCAAAACCACCCGTCGCAACACCACCTACTGTAACACCACCAACTGTTGCCCCACCCATTGCAACTTCTCCTATTGTAACACCACCAATAGCAAAACCGCCCGTCGCAACGCCACCTGTTGCAACTCCACCTATCGTAAAACCGCCCATTGCGGCACCCCCTATTGCAACTCCACCAATTGCAAAACCACCTGTCGCAACTCCGCCCATTACAACTCCTCCCATTGCAACTCCGCCTATTGCAACTCCTCCGATTGCAAAGCCGCCTGTTGCCACTCCGCCTGTCGCAACTCCTCCTATAGTAACACCACCTATTGCATCTCCACCGATCGCAACACCACCTATCGCTAATCCACCTGTTGCAACTCCTCCAATTGCAAAGCCACCAGTAGCAACTCCTCCCGTCGCAACACCACCAGTCACACCGCCTCCTGTTGCAACCCCGCCCATTGCAAAACCACCAGTTGCAACACCTCCCTCTGCAACACCACCAGTAGCAACACCACCTATTACTAAGCCGCCTATCTCAACTCCGCCAGTAGCAACACCTCCCGTTGCAACCCCACCCGTTGCAAAACCACCAATTGCAACACCTCCCTCCGCAACACCACCAGTAGCAACTCCACCTACTGCTAAGCCGCCTATCGCAACTCCGCCAGTAGCAACCCCGCCTATCGCAACTCCGCCAGTAGCAACCCCACCTATAGCAAAGCCACCTGTCGCGACCCCTCCTGTTGCAACTCCGCCCATTGCAAAACCACCAGTTGCAATGCCTCCCTCCACAACACCACCAGTAGCAACTCCACCTATTACTAAGCCGCCTGTCGCAACTCCGCCAGTAGCAACACCTCCCATTGCAACCCCGCCTATAGCAAAACCACCAGTCACGATGCCTCCTGTAGCAACCCCGCCCATTGCAAAACCACCAGCAGCAACACCTCCAGTAGCAACTCCACCTATTGCTAAGCCGCCTGTCGCAACTCCACCAATAGCAACACCTCCCGTAGCAACTCCACCTATAGCAAAGCCACCTATCGCGACACCTCCTGTTGCAACCCCGCCTATTGCAAAGCCACCAATTGCAACACCACCAATATCAACTCCACCTATTGCTAACCCGCCTGTCGCAACTCCTCCAGTAGCAACACCTCCCGTTGCAACCCCACCTATAGCAAAACCACCTGTAGCTACCCCACCTGTTGCAACTCCGCCCATTGCAAAACCACCAGTTGCAACTCCTCCCTCTGCAACACCGCCTGTTGCAACACCGCCTATCGCAACACCTCCTGTCGCAACACCACCTATCGCAAAACCACCTGTTGTAACACCACCTATTGCAACACCGCCTATAGCAAAACCCCCAATTGCAACTCCACCGATAGCAATGCCGCCTGTCACAGCGCCGCCCAAATCTTCGCATAAGCCGAATACTTGCCCAATTGACACGTTGAAGCTAGGATCATGTGTTGACGTTCTTGGAGGTTTGGTTCACATCGGAATTGGAAAAAGTGCCAAAGAAAAGTGTTGTCCAATTTTAGAAGGTTTAGTTGACCTAGACGCAGCTGTTTGTCTATGTACCACTATTAAAGCTAAGCTTCTCAACATCTACCTCATTTTTCCCATAGCTCTTGAGGTTCTCCTTGGTTGTGGGAAAAAACCACCACCTGGCTTTCAGTGTCCCGCCGAAATGTCACCGGTTGCAGCACCTCCGGTAGCAAAGCCTCCTATGGCAACTCCACCCATTGCAAAACCGCCAGTTGCAATGCCGCCTATCGCAACTCCTCCTATAGCAAAACCGCCAGTAGCAACACCTCCCATCGCAAAATCACCTAGTGCAACTCCTCCCATTGCAACACCGCCAATTTCAATGCCTAAGCCAAATACTTGTCCAATTAACACTTTGAAGCTAGGCGCGTGCGTTGACGTTCTTGGAGGCTTGGTTCACATTGGAATCGGAAGTAACGCTAAAGAAAAGTGTTGTCCAGTTTTGGAAGGTTTAGTTGATCTAGACGCAGCCGTTTGTTTATGTACCACTATTAAAGCCAAACTTCTCAACATCAATCTCATTCTCCCTATAGCTCTTGAGGTTCTCCTTGATTGTGGGAAAAAACCACCATCTGGCTTCAAATGTCCCGCCTGATCAGTATAAAGTGATGTGAGTCTCTCGACGAATTTTCATGTTTCGTTTCAAGAATTTGTTGGTTTCATAATATATATCTTTGGTAACATGGGTTTACTTGCATGTGTGCAACCTTAGTTACGTGTTTCATTTACGACAATAAATGGTTTGTTTGTGTTTGAGATCTCAGTTTCTTTTGGTATTGTATCTTTAAGAAAGAAGAGAAGCTATAAAACGATATAGCTTTTACTTTTAGTATCAGAAGAGTTTTATCTGCAGCACAACCTCGTTTTGTTATTATATATTTACGTACCTCTCGATCTCAGAAGTCAAAAAACATAACTCTACAGGCCCAACTTAACGATCTCAACAAGCCCAAACACACAAAAACAAAACCATGGCAAATGAGCTCAGCCACGTCTCTTTCCTCTCTGTCGCCTCCTCACACCTAAAAGCATGTGAAGTTCTGATTCTCGTTAGAAGAAAAAAAGATTTGATAACCTCGTGTTAATTTGATTATTTGCAATCCCTAGCAATATCAAACGCATGAAAATGTAGACAAGTGTCGAGAAAGGTGTATAAAATATATAAGAAAGAAAGACAAAGAAGAAAGTTTATTCTCGTCCTCTTTCTCTTTTATTACACTATCGGATAGTACTCAGTAGTACTCAAGACGACCACTAGTTTTTTTTTTTTTTTTTTTTTACAATTATCGTCGTCGTGGTTGTGACTTGTGAGAGGGAACAAAGAGACAAATGGTGGGAGTCACATGCATACACTAGAGATTGAGATTCATTCATTTCATAATGTCACATTATCCATTTACCCTTTTTAAATTGCTTTTTCATTTTTCATTTTAAGAAAACCAAAATCTTCATAAGTGACAGAGTTCACGGGTTACACTGTTTTAACTACCCGCCAAAATTCCACCCGCCAGCTACGTAAATTTGCGTCCATAAGTTTTATTTTTCTTTTTCTTCATGAACATATAAATAAATTGGAAGGACAAAAAATTGTGGTAATTTTAATTTCGTGGGTTTTATATAGCTCGATTTATTTACTTTAACAGTATTTTATAAACTGAATTGGAAAATAAGTCAGATTATATTTTAGGATAATGTCAATATAGAATATGATATCCATAATTCAGAAATATTACTATAGTATATAACAATAATATGAACAAACTAGAAAGAGAATCATCAATTACATAACATAACGTCATCCAATCATTTCATTTTACCAAGAATTGATAAGAAATGGCGCACTAGGTTAATATGATCAATAACATTGTTTCGGTCGGAAAATGATTATAGGGGTTTGTTTTTTTTCATTAATTAGTGAAAGCTTACAACTATGACTCTAATGTATATATCTAGTAACTAATGAAACCCAACAAACTTGGTTTGAAGATTTATCAATGTTTTATATATTTTAGGGGGGTTTTAACCAAAATTGATTCTCTTTTCCTATTTGTATAGGTAAAGACACAGACTAAGACCCAAAAGAAATTGCCTAAAATCCTTATATATAAAAAATGGACCTACCTCGCAAGGAACAAGAAAGAAAAAGAGTGAGAACGATGTGTTTTAATTATATCTTGTGACTACAAAAAATATCAAAATATAGAATAGGAGGTGAGGTTTACAAAAAAAAAAAGAAAAAAAAAAAAAGAATAGGAGGTGTAAGTTAAGTCAAATAATAATGACAAAAGTCCCTTCTTAAATTGTCGACCCAATTGGCCATTACATTACAAAAACACCTTTGGTTGCTCCCAATTTTTTCACCCTATATTTACAAATATCACTATTGCCTAAGTTTTTTAAAAACATTCGTACGTCAATCATATAAAAAAAATTAATATAGTGACTACAAAACCATTGTAGAGACATAGAGTAGACATTCCCTAATTAATGTTAATACACTAGAGCTCGAGTATGTCCGAACATTTTCTCTAGTGCTGTTTTTGCGATGTTAGCAAATTTTATTCGAGATGTAGAAACCATGAGGTGCAAGATATGATTCTTTTAAAAGCTGATTGTATTTTTCGAAAAGCTAACTTTTTGACCAAATAGGCTATAATACGAACAGGTTTACAAAAAAAAAAAAAAAAAGGAAATAATAACGAACAATAGTACGAACAATGAAATTATGTTGGTATAATACATGAGATTATCACAATCGAGATCGTTCACGTTGTTAACATATTGATCAATGCTTCTTTCGAAAACAAATAAATATATAAGACAAGAATTAAGCGAAAATTTATAGTTTTTCGAAATATTTTCATGTTACGTCGTACCTTTTTATATTGACTTAACCATATATGGGTTTAAAGTTAACGACGAAGCAAATTATGAGTTTACACTACATAAGTGATATTACACTAGATGATCATTGTGTCATTAAAGTGAACAACGAAGCATAAAATTATCATTTAGAGATTAAACACAACAACTCTTCTTTGTATATATACTATGAAAACAATTCCCTTATAAAATGCCAATTTATAAAGATTACTGTTGCGTATATAGATTCACATTCCGTTTTAAGACCTATAGAAACTCAAAAAAAAAAATATGGATGAGACAAATATAATGCCAATTGAGGAATGTATATGTCTATATGACACAACCTTTTGTTTTCTTTTTGTAACCAAGAGACATAATACTACGTGCTTAATCAAATCCAATTCCAATCATCTATATACTACTGTATCACTATTTGGTGTTTTACACTATTTTATGTTACAAAATAAATATCTTAGAAGAGTTTTTTTTTCTATAAAAGGTACATGTACACTCATTGTATCTACTTACTCACTCCTTTCACAAACCCAAACCCCTCATTCTAAAAAAATGAGGTCTCGTACTCAAAACCTCTCCTTCCTCGTTCTCCTCCTCCTCGGCTTCGTTGCCGTCTCCTATGCTTGCGACTGTAGCCCTCCTAAACCATCACCATCGCCTCACAAACCTCCTAAACATCCCGTCAAACCGCCTAAACCACCTGCCGTTAAACCACCTAAACCACCGGCAGTAAAGCCACCCACCAAACCCCATCCTAAACCACCCACCGTCAAACCCCATCCTAAACCACCGGCAGTAAAACCACCCACCAAACCCCACCCTAAACCACCGGCAGTAAAACCA